ACAGCTTTTCACTCTTCTCGTCTCCTCCATCTCCTTTGAGCTGCAGAGCTTCTGGCTGGGCTACATCCTTTGGACAAGGGCTCTCCATCCCCACGAGGGATAGAATAACAACATCTTGCTGTAACATTTGCCAGAAGTTTGATGCCTTTCATGACATTTTGCCAACACAGACTCAATCTGTGTTGCACCATAATGCCCGGATCCGTTTCCACAGCAATGCTATCTCCCCATTTATTTCCATTTCTTCTTTCTGCACTTCTTAATTTCCATTTTGTCTTTCTACACTTCTTAATTGTGTGCATTTGTCACTACTGAGTTTTGTCTTATTGCTTTAGGGGCACCTTCCCTCTACTTCATCAAGGACACATATATACTGTGACTACTATATTACTCAAAATTAAAAGACCTCTCTGGAGAAAATGATCAAAGGGTCTAGTTAAAAACTGTAAAAGGCGTGAACTGGAGACACACCCCACCCCAAGGGAGGAAAATGAGGTACTTACTCTCTGTCTATGACCAGACAAGTTACTGCTTCAGCTGCAATGACGTTGGCTGTTCTGACATCCTCCCTGAAAGCAAAAATACATTTCTTCAGTAAGCCATATTATTTTCATGACCATTTTATATTTATCTGTACAGACTTCAAGCACACAAAAGCTAAAAACTCCACATGAGCAGAAAAAGAGGTTGCCCTTGTAAATAAGACATCCACCCAAGCATCAGCAAATGATTTTCATCTGTTTCAGGCACAGTCTTGTTTCTTACTATGCACATTCATGCACAGAGTTTTATCAGAATATTAGCTATTTGCATAGATTTATTTATGAACATCTAGACTTCTGCTCAGGTCCTTCTCCCCAAAAACCTACATAATATCTCAGTGTTTGAATATGAAGCATCCAGTTAAGTAGGACATCAGCTCCTACTCAGAGCTGTTACACTATGCATTTGCTATCTGAGCATGAAGGAGCCTGGGATTGTGCCTATAAAAGGGGCCTGATTAGGATGGAGCTTTTGAAAAAAAGCTGTAAAATATGAAGATAATTCATTCTAATCAAGCAGATTCGGTGTTTCATCAGGGTTATGGTGCTGTCGTTGCATTTTCTGTGTTGGCCAAACAAATGCATGGGATTCAGAGTCACTGTTTTATTCAAATCCACTCCAAACCTTTCCATATATAAAAGGTAAGTGAATTACAGGCAAAAGAGACCCACCTCTTCCAAACACACATAATTCATTTAGACTGGAAAAACACTGCAAGTTTCCACTGAAGCAGAAAATGAGATTTAAAAAAGCTATTAGAAACAGACTTTCCCCTGTTTAAAGACTGGAGGTATTTAAGCACTAATACAGTAAAAAAAGTATGGTGTATGTGCACTCATACAGGAATGTGCACTCTCCCTTTAAGGTAATCATCAATCAACTTTAATTACTTTTGAGCTATCTTTAATATATTCAAAACAGAGCAAGCAGAAATACAAATGAAAGAAACATTAATATTCAAGCTTATATTCAAATACTGTCTTTGAGTCTATTTTTGATGAAATTAAGCGTGTATTACTGCTAATTTATCCATAACGATAAACAAGATTATGGTAATTTAAAGCGTGTAGAAGAAGTAGCTGAATAGCGGTAGACAATTCAATTATCCCTATTAAGTTGACAAACTTTGGTAAATATAGACAGGATAAGGAATGATAATATTTAATATGCCATTAAGTTGCTGTAGCCAACTTTTGCTGGTATATTAATACATTAAAATGAGTACGCAAACTTTTTCGTTGTTCATTAATTTCTGTTAAAACTTAACATATTTGTCCCATTATCTCAGATGCTTTTCTGCAACAAAAAGATAGTTTATACCTTTATAGTTATAGATTATAGACATGATTAGAGTTACTATATTATAGTTATATGATTACAGAAAAGTAAAATACAGCCATTGGTGGCTTCAGTTAAAACATTTTCAATAAACCTTAACATTAGTGATTAAAATGCGTAAGTAGCTGTTATGGTTTCCACTATCTTTTACTTAATACATCCTTTTAATCAGCTCAAAATTAACATAGAATGAAGGCACCTTCCCAAAGGGCACCTCACATAGCACAAACACCTGAACCAGAGGGACGGTGGGGTTTTTGTAATGCAGAAAGTCATGCGATTCTGAGGTTTCCTTATGTTCTGCAAAAGTCAGGGAAAAAACAGGGTTTTGTAAATGAATGATGATGTGGTTCATATATGAAGTGTTAAATAAAGAAATCACTGTCTTTGGTTATCTCCAAAGCCAACCTGTGCATCCTTGCCTACAAACTCCCCTCTGCCATCGCTGCAGGCCCCTCGTCCTGCAAATACCGAATGAAGGGACCAACAGGGGAAAGCAGCTTTCTGTTTCCACAGTTTAAATTGATTGTAAATGGGTTTATAAACCTCGCATGCTCTCCTGTTAGGGGGTCTTTACCAACCAGGCTGCAAGCAGGATTAAAAATCTCATCAAGTTTCTAGAAACAGAGGAAAAAAATCAACATATTTTCAGTTCTATATGAACATTAAACCTTTGTGTGCATCAGCTATGAAATACAACACATGCTCAGACTTCCAAACACTGACAGTACCTCACATACACGTAAAAATGACAAACATACCAGGTCCATGCCACTGATCTATGAATTAACCTCAGTCACCTTCAAGCAAAACAAATTTTCAGTCCATGTTTTAAAAGGCAATATTTCAACAGGCGGTCACCAGCACATGGCATTAAATGTAGCTACTAATTATTATAAATGCATGGCAATAAATGTAGCAAGTAATTATTAGAAGTGCAGGGCATTAAAAGCAACAATTATTAGAACTGCACAGCACTAAATGCCACAAGTAATTATGTGAAAGCCTTGCTTGCGAACACTGACTCAGATACTGTCCGGACTTCATCGCAGGAGTACTCATCACTGCTTCCCGAGAAACAGCACTCTTCGTCAGAGGAATCGCCTTCACTCTCCATATACTCCATCGCTAACGTTTGCCTCCACCATTTCCTCCCACGAAAATGCCTGATTCTTTCCAGCCCGTTACTATGTTTTGTCCTCTGGGCGAACTCTGGTATTTTACAGCCCCTCCAGCTTCAAACTTTAGAACTCGGAGAAAGGTCACAGCTGCTGGGGGGCGTTTCTAGGGTGCAGCATTGGGAAACACAAGCAGAAGGCATTTTGGAGCAACAAAGAGCTACAAGGCTGCACACGAGTGCCCATGAATCCTGCCACAAGCACGCATCTGAAAAACGGGGCAGAAGACCTTGTACCACTGCGCTTCATAGCTCCTTAACCCCATGGTGGAATGAGATGGCAATGCTATCCACATTCCTAACGCTGTTGCAAAGTGTCTTATCACATCACCATAAACATGAGTATATTATTTAAGAGATGAAATGCATATATATTTTTTCCTCATTATAATTTGGGCCCAGTTCACCACATACAACCTGTAACGTTTCAAAAATTCTGCTTATGATAAGCTGCCAACAACTTAATTTAAGAATGACATGTTTTTTTAACCATTTCCAGGAACTTTTTTTATTAAAAGTGTACTGAACCAATTATTTATAAGGCTGTGTTGGAAAACGCAAATATGAAAAATATAGGCAGCTTTGACCAGAGACAAGGTCATACATCAGCCTCTGTTCTCTGAATTTACCTTAGGCTGTAAAAATCCAACTTCGATTTTAAAATCTTTGAAATTATTCCCATCTTTGTACTTTTTACCTTCCTACAACCCCTAATTCATTGGAGTCCTGTTCCAACACCGGCTCTCACAGGTCCTGCCACACCTAACCTCTTAATAATGCTGATATAATTCTTCGAATAAATGGAAACTGTATTTGGATGATTTAATTCAACAATATATCATTATATTTGCTTGAAACTTGCTGTTACATCACCAACAAACACTGCTCTGCTGTCTCCCCAGAAGAACGACACAACTGGTGCAACCTTGGCATGACGTCTGCCCAGCTTTTGGGATTGGTGCCCCCCAGACACAGGCTCCCAGCACAAAATAGCATTTATTAGGAGGTGCAAGTATGCTGCTGCATGAAGTACCATGTTTATAGCTGAGCCTCTTCTGCTTGTCTCCTGACTGGCATTTTGTCAATCAAAATTGATTTCAAGCTAAAATATAGTACAGATGGTTGTAGGTCTCTAGGTAGGCAAAACCCTCTCTTTAAAGGATAGAGCTAGGGTTGGTTTTCCGGAACATCACCAAATTTGGGTACCGCTCCTCAAAATACCCAATAAATATAATTTTTATCTCCCATATAAAGTCATGGTGTAATCAGAAAATACCCAACAAAATAATACAGGGAGGTAGATATGCTGGGTTTTGAGCTATTACCACTAAATTCAAGCTGTTACCTGATTTTGCCCATAATTTTTTTCCTTTCACTTCTTTCTGACATACCTTGTCCTAAATACTTTAAATCAACCTAATTAAAAATACCATAACAAGGTCAAGTGTACAGTGCCGGAAAGTGGTAAAATGCATTAAAGAACTAAAATATCAGCAAATTAGGAACCTCCGGACAGCCTTCCTGCAGCAAACTTTTAAAACCCACCAGGGAAGATCTAATTTTTTCTTTTCATCTTTTCTTTGAAAGCCCTCATTAACACCATTCTGAAGTTTAAATGATCTAAACACTAATTTCCATAAGTCCCACGGGACTTGAGCTTTCTGCCACAGACCTCTCCCAGGCAGCTGCAGCTTCTGCAGAGCAACCTCCAAGGACCAGACAATGACCTATCTACTCTTGGTGGGTGGTCAAGGCCCTTTGGTACTCGGTCAAAGAAAAATGGGTTGTCATCATCATTTTTAGACAAAGAAATAAAAACCTCTCAACAATCCTAAATATACTTTTTGAGATACTTCTGCAGACAATAGCCCTTTTGCAGCCTACAAGCTCAGTTAGGTAGCACGGCCATCGCTCTTCCCAGGAAACACACTCTGATCAAGGCAGGTGTCACCTGTGGGAAGTTTTACCCGAAACACTAGGACTATCCTTGTAAATGATGTGATCCCTTAACACACAAGGAAGCAAAAATGTGGGCTAATTTTATGCTACCCTAAACTGGTACAGTATGTGCCACTCTGCACCCTCTTTCCTATTTTTCTCGGTAGCCATTTTTGAAGTCAAGTCAGTGCAGACCTACAGAACAGCGATGTGGTTCAACATGACTGATGGTATAAGCCATGGTCTGTACCAGTTACCTGGATCTATTGTCTGATTTTTACAGGGAAAAAACACCCCGTGCAGACTGAGGTTTGGTTTCCCAACACCTCAGCTTTCTAAGAATATAACATTGATTTGCCATTGGTTTTGACTATAAAAATACATTACTGGAATTAACAAATACAATGTAGTCTACTAAACTTCTAAAAATTTTAACGTGAACTTAATACAATGTGCAACTTAAAAAGCTTCACTTGAAAAGAGTTATGGCATTGAATAAAATCTACGAAAATCCCATAGTTGCATAGGAGAAGGTATTAAAATCACACCTTCTGTAACAGGAATTAAATATGA